CAGAGGAGACACGCTCTGGCATTGCTGTATGAAGATCAGGCTGGCCCGGCGGCATACAAAGTGGGACGAGAGGGAGGCCACAGCAGCGGCGGGCGGTGGCGAGAGCCCACTTAGTAGGCAAGAGAGGTGTTTTCAGTCAGATGTCTCCAGGACTCACGTTTTCAACATAACCGGTAAAAGCCACATTGATATGTAAAGAGGAGACTAGAGTTTTCTTCATGCTGAAAAGGCACTCTTTCACTCCCCATCGGAGGCAACAGAGACATAAAAATATTGGAAACCAGCTTCCTAATTAGTGTGCTACAAGAAAAACGATGATTATGTATCTTGTCCATAAGAAGTCTTCAACCCGTGTCATCGTGACACGCCTCTGTCAGCCAGGGCAGCTGCAGGAAAAACGAGTCCTGTCCTTCTTGGTTCACTCGCTCCCTAAGATTTGGGAACTTCAGTATGATTTCTTAGTGGACTACTCTGTGATGTCTGGGGGCCGCTTTACTCATGCCCCGTCTAGGTGAGGGGATGTTCTTGCCCTGGAGAACTGGCCGGAATCTGCACAGGGTAAGTGAAGCTCGGGCTGCCGGCTGAATCGTGGTTTATTTTTCTAAAGTTCCTACAGTAAAAACTGACCACCACTGTAGCTCTGCTCTGGAACAAACGCTCACGTTCTTCCCCTTCCATACACTCCACCCTCTGCTTGATGAACTTCGGTGGCGCTTCACTGTTCTTCATGCAGGTGGCATCTTTAGGCTCTATTAGGGTAACTATCTCTTTAGAAAACCCCTCTCAGGTTTTCCTGGGATTCCAGCACGTATTCATGGGTAGCCACTATGCTCTCAGATGTTAAGAGATCTTCTTATTGCCCAAGTGTCTGCCTTTCTTTATTGTTCCAGAATATCAGATAATATCTGAGTCACACCGCTTGGGTTGAATCACTGTCTCACTACCTGGTGGATGTGTAACTTTGAGCAAATTGCTTAAACCTGTTTCCTCATTTGTAAAATGAGAAATAATCCATATTTGCATATTCTGAACAAGGATATTATGAAGATAATATAATGACTCGTGTAAAACACTTTTCTCAGTACCTCTCGCAAAATAAGCACCCCATAAATGTTGGCTTCATCATCATCGTCATTATTACCAGTGTCCATAGATGTATATAAAGGTAAAAAAATACATGGACGAATTTATACAAATGAATATGGAACACACCAAATGTAGACACGTATACTATATAAACTGTTATCTCTGTAGCCCTTATAATTAGGAATGAACCAAGACAGGGAATTTAGGAAGAGAAGCTAGCTTGGGGGGTGGAGGCAAAAAAAAAATGAAGATGACAATGAGTTCGGTTTGGGGATCACTGATCTGAAGTTCCTGGGAATATGCAGCAGGCATCTGGACGGCTAGATCTGAACCTAGGTGTCAAGTCTCAGAGAGCCCCAGGAGTTCTCAGAGCACAAACAGTGGTTAAGATGCTGGGAGTGGGAAAGAGACTCAAGCACATGAAGTGAGAAGAGGTTTGGATCTCAGAAGGAAGCACGGAGAAACACCAACTTTTATAGGAAGGTAGATGGAGAGCATCCGGTGGAGAGGGTCGACAATGAGTGACTGTTGTCCTGGAATCCAAGGTAAAAAAGATGGATTCAAGCAGGATGGAATGACCACCACCATGAAATGATGCATCAAGTGATGCAGAGAAAGGTAGAAGTAAATCATCAACAAAGAAAAGAGATTGGAGAAAAAAATTAAAAGGTTAGATAAGGAATATCTGAGGTTTTGCAGGCAATTCATCCATTCTCTGATTGCATAAATATCCACGTGCCTGCAGGCATTAAGACCCAATGTCAATTGTGTAAAAGTGATCACTAAATAAATGTGTAGATGTGCAAAAATATGAAATAAAATGAGTTGGCGTTCATTGTGCCCTGGGTTCCCTCTGTTCTCTCCCAGGAGGAATGAGTGGGTGATGGAAACAAAGGAGGTTACACGTGAGATCCAACAAGGAATCTGTCATTGTTGATAGAGAGAGGTGCAGCTCTCTTCTTTAACTCAAAAACTGACTCTGCAGTGTGGCCAAGGAGGCTGACCCTACTGAGAAGGCTCTATCTCTTTTAGGACATGTATGAGAATCACAGGTCAGAGCATTGTCAGGGTTCAGATAAATCCCGTTTGAAGAACAGTGTGGACTTTGTGTCGGACAGCTCTCATGCTTAATCAAAGGGCACACTCTTTGGGACAGTAGCACTGCCACTAGGAAGAGTCTGCCAGAGGTTATGAGGAATAGGACTCAATGAGTGGTTCTCAATCACGCAGTGTTAGTTACCTCTCCTTGCTCCACCAGGGGACATATGACAATTTCTGGAGACATTTTGGCTGTCATGGCTGGGGGGGTGTGTGTGTTCTCTACTGGCGTCTAAAGGGTAGAGACTAGTAATACCGTTAAACATCCTAAAATGCACATGAAACCCTGCTGTCTCCACAAAAAGGATTATCCAGTCTAAAATATTAATTGTGCCCAGGTTGAGAAACCCTAGACTGAACTGATGACCTACCTTCAGTTTATCACAATCATTTTCCCCAAAGGCTGACATTTATATGTTATCATTTGAAAATTACTTATCCAGGCAAAATGTTGTTTTTCTTTCCTATGTAGTGAAATAAGCAGAATCCTCATTTTTTTACTCCATTTTACAGTTGAGAAAACTGAGGCTCCAAAGGATTACAAGATTCCCCAGAAATCTACCTTGTTGCTCCTCATCTCACTAGCCCTTCTACTAATCAAAGAACGGCTCTTTTGTGTGCAAAAATAAAGCTTTCTGCACATTCTCAAAAATAATAGACTGAATTGCTTTCTCATCTTTTATTAAGAGGCATATTCCTATGATTCAAAGCTTCCAGACATTTCACTAGCAGGTCCTGTGAAAGAAAGCAAGCCCTTGGAAGTTCTACACAAATACTCTTTTTGTTCCCAATGTCACCAAAATCCATCCCAAACTCTGGTACCCTGACAGGTATGACAAAGTTGATCCTGATATTCATAAGGCATTGAACATGCTTATTAAACATAAGTTGTTTCATGCCTGGCTACGCTTTGTTTCTAACTCAAACTTGGCAAAAAAAAAACGATATATAGAGAGGTTGGGTACAGTGGCTCACAGCTGTAATCCTAGCACTCTGGGGAGGCTGAGGCAGGAGGATCATTTGAGGCCAGGAGTTGGAGACCAGCCTGAGCAAGAGCAAGACCCCATCTCTACAAAAGTAGAAAAATTAGCCGAGCATAGTGGCGCTTGCTTGTAGTCCCAGCTATTTGGGAAGCTGAGGCAGGAGGATCACTTGAGCCCAGGAGTTGGAGGTTCCAGTGAGCTATGATGATGCCACTGCACTCTAGCTGGGGCAACAGAGTGAGACTCTGTCTCAATTAAAAGAGAGAGAGAGAGAGAAAGAGAGAGAGAGCTCATCTCAAGACTAAAGCAAACTACAAAACAGTTTACACGCAAACCCAGCATCATGTCATAAGACACTTTGCAACACACACTTAGCGTCATCAGACGTGTGGTTTCGCCAGCTTCCTTGCAAAGCTGACTCCAACTCAACACTCAGTTACAAAAGTCCTGTATGCGGATGAGAGCACCACGTTTACCAGCTTTGAGTCAGAAGCTGGTCAGGGGAAAACATTTCCCGAGAAACTAGAAATCTCCCCATTCATCTCTGTCAAGACAGAAGGTGGCGAGGACAAGATGATTTCATAGAAAAACCTCAGAATTTCAGGAGAGAGTGCCTTCTTTCCACTGCACTTGCTCTTTAATCAGACTAAGAAGTCTCCCCTCTTTTTAAAAACTCATCTTGGAGACCAAGAGATATTGACATCCCCAATCAAGGCTCAAGATCAGCCCTTTACTTTTTCCCACACTGGACAATGAATGTGCAGCTAAAGTTCTTCAAGAGCCTCTCGGAGATCATCCATTTCAATCTACACTTAAAGCTGGTTAAATATACTTAAGTACTTTCAACACCACGCTGTTTCCCTGACGGACCAAATGAGCCTGCGTCTACGGGTCATTACTCTGACGGGGGGGACTAACGTTGGCCCTACAAGTAAGTAGGCCACAGGATGCCACGGAGGGCCACGCAAGGGTTTGTACCTTGGCTGCTCAGAGTGAGAAGGTGGCTTTGGCGTCGTCACCAGGGAGCTCGTTAGAGACGCCCAATTCCAGCCCCACCCCAGACCTCAATTAGAATTTTAACAAGATCCCCAGGGGATTCTCAACACTTGTAAGAGAGAGAAGTACCTTGTCTAGAACTCAGCAAGCTTTCTTAAAACCCAAGCGCCATTTTGTGTTTTAGAAGTCAACACACTTGTTTTTGCATCCTCTTCCTGTAGTAAACGTGCAATTCTGCAGGTTAACGCACCACTCAAATGTTACAGGGTGGCTACAGAGCACGTACGTGTGCTGCACAGGGACATTTCTGAAACAGACCTGGGCGTCACTCCTATTGTCCTAGGCATGGTCTGCTTAATAAGGGGTCCATTTATAATGGATAATTACTGCTAGCAATGTCCAAGGTTGGGAGAGGAAAGCAGAGAGAAAGGAAGGAGGAAGGGGCCGTAATGGGAACACAGAACAGCCATAATCAGTTTTACTTTTTACTCTTCTATAACTGGTTTTCTACCTGTAAAGTTTTAGGCAAAACATTCATCATTTCTACGTCCTTTGCTTAACCTGTGGGGGTTAGGCATGTGAGTCCATTCCGGAAGCCAGAATTAGACGCAAAGGATGCCACTATCTCAACCAGCGAACGCAGGTGGTACTGTCCAATTCTGCTCTAATAAAAACAACAGCCCCAAGAGTACACATACCTGGGGGACCACGGGCCTCACCTGCTCCTCACCTCTAGGGAAACGACTGTACTCTATCTCTTCTCCTGCCTAAGGCTTCTTCCCCCTCTCCTGACATTCATGCCCTTATTGAGATTTAAGAAAGACAAGACTGACCCACCTGGAATCTCCGCATGTCACGTGGGTTTCCTGCATTCTTTAGGCAATTTTGGTTACATTTGAGGAAAAATTTCAAGAAGAACCTGTGAAGAAACACATTATCATGGTTAACATTTCAGTGCTGACACAGGAGGGGAAAAAAGCAATAAGTCACTTCTATTCTCTTTACATGTGTTCTGAAATATTCAGAATGGGGTTAGAGCTAGTACTGAGTTTGAGATTTTTAGCCTTTGTTTTGTATCCAAGCTGGACCTTCTCTACGAAGGGAACACTCTTGGCACTGCCAACAGATCTCACAAAACAATTAAGTCCCCAAGGAAGTATTTTCACTCATACAGAGGGAAAGTCTTCGCCATAATTTAAGATAGGTTTCAATTCGATATAATTATCTGAGAATTACTCACGGTCCCCAAGAACAACATGTAATTTAAACCCTGTAAATTCACAGATGATGAACTGCTGAAATACATGCTGGATGAATACAAGGAATTGGTAAACATTTTTTTTTTATCTTAGCCTCTGCCCATAAAATGTTTTAATTAGTAGTACCCATGAGAAATAGGTATGATTCACATCATAACTAAACTCCTTCGATTTCTCAAATATCTCCTGAATGTTTTTCTTTGAATTCTTGCTGTGGACAAGAGCTATTTGTGATTGAATAAGGATCTTCCTGCCTCATTGCCACCTTGGTTTCTGAATTGGTTTTATGGGGATATCTACAGGTTTTACTTGCTAAGGTGACCAATGGTCCCAATTTGCCAAGAAAAATCCCAGTTTGTACCAGCTGTACTGGTGCAAGTATTAATAGTACCTACTTTAATTCTCAAAAATGTCCTGGTATGGGTGATAAATCACATGGTTACCCTATAACTTTCTGAGTTATTTCTTACATAACCATCGCATTTGCTAAAAGTCCATGATGGAAACCCAGACTCTATTAAAAGTGTCATATTAGGGCATTCATGTTGGCCACCTGCAATTAAACCCTTCCACCTGCCCGTGTTTGGGAAAAGGATTTTCAAAGCCACCTAAGTTCTGCAATCCTTTTTAATTTTAGGCCTAGGTGTGCCTGTGGATTTCAGGCTCAAATATTTCTCAAAAATATCAGAATGCATCAAATTGCTGGTCAATAAAATTCTTGTAAGGAATTCTCTTTTCTTCACCTCTCCCCCACTTCAACTCTACACTGGAGTAAAAGCCCCACCTCAATACATATAACCTATGAAGGACGATCACCCCACGGTGCCACAGTCTGAATTTAGCTCTGCACCCCATGTCTATCAACCAGATGACACTGGGGTCTTCTATAATAAGGGCGTCGCACAAAGATATACCGAGCTCAGCCAATTTGTCAATACTAAACTGAGAGAAGTCCCAGAAGAACCTCTCTCCTCCCTGGTCTCTTAGAATCTGCTAAGATGAAGACTATGGCGTGGGAATAAGTCTTTAAAGAGAAACAGTGACTTTTTCAACCAAAAGAATTAACATTTGAAAATGCAATCGTCTTCCTGAAGTGGCTCTTTCTATATCACACAACATTTGACCTGCCCATCAATGAAAGCAGGGCTCTGAATAATCACCCCACTTCCAGCTTCTCTCCACAGAAGCCAAAGCTTCTCAGCCCTCCGTGCAAGATAAGTGATTTGTGGATTCATGGAGCATCGCTGAAGCTCAACTGTGTGAAATGAAACGCAACTCTGGGTGCCCACCCCCAGTACCAAGAGCAACAGCGTCTCTTTCAATAGGGGTAGACTTGGGAAAGGTTGGGGGTTTGAGGGAGTGGTCAAAACCCTAAGTCCTTTTGCATTGTCCCGTTCCTCTGAGCTCTCAGAAGGCACGTGCTGGGTGGCCCTACGGATCACACATGGCTTTCGGAAACCATTTAATGTGGCAGAGCTGTGATTTTCCCATGTTGCTGGGGTTCAAGCCTATATCCAAAGACACCCGAGGTGTGTGAAAACTGGCTGCTTCTTTCAAGAACAACTAGTTAGAAGGGCATATTTCAAAGCTACTCCAAGCCTCGGGAGAGAGAGCTGATTCCCACTAAATCGGCCATGAGGTACGGTAAGGGAGAGTGGAAAAGCCACGCACAGCCTTTAGAAAAACCCAGAATGGGATTCCTATGCTAACCCTGCCAGGGACTACTCGTGTGACTTTGGATAAGAAGCTGGATTTCTCTGCACTACACTTTTGCTTACCTAAAAGTCGGATCCAGTAACAGTCCTTCCCTCACAAGGCAGCTGTAACAATTAACTGAGACAATGTATAGTGCCTGACACGTGGTAAGCATGGTGATGGTGGCAGTGATAAAAATACTGGTGTCCGGGTATCCAGTGCTACCTTGTGCTCAGTACAGTGCAAAGAACTTCAAATATTTGCACATTTAATCCCCCGAAGTAACCCTGTGTTTCTCTTTTTCTTTTAATTTTTTTTGCTTTTTAGAGACAAAGTCTAGTTCTGTCACCCGGCTATTGTGCAGTGCCACCATCCATAGCTCACTGCCTCAAACTCCTGACCTCAAGCCATCCTCCTGCCTCAGCCTCCCAAGTAGCTGGGACTACAGAGTTGTGCCACCACCCCTGGCTAATGTTTTTTTTTTTATTATTATTATTTTTTGTAGAGATGGGGGTTTTCTTATGTCATCCAGGCTGGTCTTGAACTCCTGACCTCAAGTGATCCTCCCGCCTCGGTCTCCCAAAGTGCTGGGATTACAGGCGTGAGCCACCACATGTGGCCACCTCTGCTATGAATCTCATTTTGTAGATGAGAAAATTGAGATTCAGAGAAGTGAAATAACCTGCCCAAAGGTTAGTAAATGTGAATCTAGAATTCAAATTCAAACAGGGCAGCTCCAGAGACTGTGCTCTTAACCACCAGGCTATAGTAGTTTTAGTAATAATAGAAGCAGTGCAATAATGACATTCATGCTAACGGTACCATCGATAGCAATGGTGCCATAACAGCAACTGTACCAACAAGAGTAAAGAAGAGCAATCGTATTACTAAAGAGTAATGATTAGCATTATTATTGTCACAAGGGCAACGTGAATATCATGGAGGGAGACGTCATCGCCATTCTCCTTCCAACGGGCTCCCGAGCCTGGTTCCCGGGGACTCATAATATTTGCCGCCTGTGTGTGTTTAAGCCACTTGATCCCAGACCCGACAGCCAGATTCAGGTTGTGTTAGAAGGAGCTGTCAGCAAACCCTCTGGCATCTTCAAGTCAGACAACTGCTAGCCATCATGGTGGGGGGGAGGGGGTCCAGCTGGTGCCAAAATGGGTTTTGAAAGACAGGCACACAGGACATTCGCTCTGCCAGGGAGAAACAGAATCAAGGGAGCGGGGATCTTCCGCCGCAAAGATGAGCCGGGGTGAGGCGCCTGTCAGCAGCTCGTCGTTAGCGCGGCAGCTATGCCGGGCACACGGCGGATCCCCGTTACCCCGGGCTGGCCTGTCACTTGGCGGACTGGCAGAGGCTCCTGCCCGCCCCCTCCACAGCGGATCGCTTGCTGAAACTGAAGGCTTGACCATCTGTCGTGGGGAAGACACGGGCGTCAACTGGTGCCTGGGGCCTCACACAAGCCCTTATGTGGCAAAGATGCTCCAAAGGGCCAGTTCTTTGGGGGAAAGCCAGCCCTACCCCAGGGGGAGCCTCAGAAATTCTTCCAAAGTTTTCCCCTAAGTAGATGCCAAGTGTCTGACCCTTGCGGATCACACTTCCTTAAAGGAACTGAAAAGAGTTTAGAAGGAGTTAAAAATATCCCCACTGAGAGACAGAGTCAGACATGGCACACAAATTTGGGGGATGATTTATCAGGCTAAGTTTATAGGGCCTTTGTAAGCCGGGGGGCCACGTGCACAGCCTGCCGGCCTACAGAGAAGATCTCAGGTTCCGAGGGGGCTTTTCACAAAGCGGAGGTTATTGTAACTCAAAACCTCACTTTTGTCTAATGAATTGCCGCATTTTGTGTGGCGGGCGTGTTTTTGATAGCGTGTTGTCGGGAGAAAGAGTGTGGCAGCCTTACCCCAACTGTGGGAAACTGACCCACAGCAGGACAAAGTCGCTATTGACCCTGTAGAGTTCCAAGGAGTTCCATAAACTCCGGGAAACCGCCTAAGCAGGATCCAACTCCTTTTAAACTAAAGTCTTTATTTTTTTTTTCGAGGGGGGAGAGAGGAAGGTAAGAAGAAACTTGACACCTTTCTGTTAACTTTTAGCATGAATAATATCATCTTGTGTTCATGCAATGTGTTAATTATTCAGGACACTTATATCCCCAGTATCTCACTGAATCTTCATGGAATTCCTACAAATTAGGCCTGCCAGGAGTTATCAAAGCCGCTTGACAGGCAAGAAAACAAAGACAACAAAATTAAGAGATTTATCTACAGTCAAAAACTAATCTCTTAGATAGGCTGAAAGGACTAGTCATGGTATGAGTTTTCCATGAATTACAGCACTTTATAAGTGGCCTTAACCCTCACTTAGTCTAACCTCCTCATTTTGCATATGACGAAGGTGAGAGATCAAGGGACATGACAATACTCACGTAGTTAATAATAGTTATGAGAGCTATCATGATAATACATATGCCCTAACATCTAGTGTATGTCCAATATAATAGTCACTTCTGAAAAGAATACCTGAGCTCTTGAACTGTTTAGTCTACCATCTCAACTAGGAAAGTGACCACCATAAAACCAAAAGTGACATCCTATTAAAAGTTGTGTTTAGGCTCAGCAACCAGGATGACATACGACATTAGCACACCATTGAACTAACTGAACCCAACGGAAGCATTTGTAGAACAAAATTGTTTATGTAATGGTATACCTTTATCACATTTCACCAGCCAATAGATAATCAGTATCTAGCCTGAGTAGCTCCCATGTGACTAGCATAGTACTGGAGACCAAAAGGTACCTCTTGACTCCCCCCCAAAAGGAAAATTAATTGAATTAGCCAACAGGATTTGGCTCATCTACATGAGGAGATAAAATTGAAAAAAAAAAATCTCTGTATATACAGTACATGGCATAGGACCTAAAACCCAGTGAGTTTTCAGTAAATACTTGCT